CTTTTTTTTTTTTTTTTTTTTTTAAAGATGACCGGTAAGGGGATCTTAACCCTTGACTTGGTGTTGTCAGCACCACGCTCAGCCAGTGAGCAAACCGGCCGTCCCTATGTGGGATCCGAACCTGTGGCCTTGGTGTTATGAGCACCGCACTCTCCCGAGTGAGCCACAGGCCGGCCCCATGAAAGCTGTTAAATGTGGGTTTTACACATATTGTATCAGAAACATTGTTGGAGAAAGATTAGGGAATGAGGCATTTTGATTAATCAGTATATTGGTTATCAGTTTTCAGAGAAGTGTACTGTAATAAAATAAACTTATTATAAAGATTATATGCAGTATAATTTAATTCTGTGCCTCTCCAGGTCCTTCAGTGCCATGGCGTGTGAATTTTGTAGACTGAATGCCTGAGTTCAAGTCCTGGCTTCGGCATTGTATGACCTAGGGCAAATTGCTTGCCCTTAATTTCTTTTTTTTGTTGTTTTTTTGTGACCGGTAAGGGGATCGCAACCCTTGGCTTGGTGTAGTCTGCACTGCACTCAGCCAGTGAGCGCACCGGCCATCCCTATATCGGATCCAAACCTGCTGCGCTCCCAGCGCCGCACTCTCCCGAGTGAGCCACCGGGTCGGCCCTGCCCTTAATTTCTTAACCTTAATTTCTTAACCTTAATCTGTGCCTTTATTTCTTCATCTGAAAAATGGGAATAATAACGGTAGTTATTTACTCTTAGGATGGTTAAATGAATAAATTTATGTGTTCAGAACAGTTCTGACACATAATTGGCTGGTTCACTAGTTATTGAATTTTTACTATGAACACTATTCATTCACTTAATATATATATTGAGCTTGTATTACGTACCAGGTATTCTGGGTGCTGGTAATATAGTATTAAAAATACAGTATGGTATAAAAAATCTGTATACTCATAGAGCTTTTATCCTACTTCAGGAGACATGATAAAATAAGTAAATGAGTGAGTAAATTGCACAGTATATTAGACATTAGTAAGTGCCATGAAGAGAAATGAAGCAAGATTGGAGGATAGGGAATGTGGGGATGGGGGTGCAGGCACATTGTAGACCATTGTAAGGCGTAAGGCCACCGAGTTTTACTTTGAGTAAGGTGGGAGAACTGCTGTGGAGCTTTTAAACAGAGGAATGACATAATCTGACATGTTTCAGAAGAACCGCTCTGGCTACTTCGTGTGGACTTAGAGCTGGGGTGCAAGATAGAATCAATGACACTAGTCAGGAGGTTGTATTGTTATACTGTTCCAGATGAGGGTAGCTCTGACCAGGGTGCGAGCAAGATGAAGCGGTGAGAAGTGGTTGGATTTGGTGTATATTTTGAGGGTAGACCTATAGTGTTTGTTGGTGATTGGATGTGGGATGTGAGCAAAACAGAAGTATAAAGAATAACTAAGGATTTGGCTTGAGCAACTAGAAGTATGAAGTTGCCAGTAACTGAAATGGAGATGGTGGTTGGTGGAGCATATTCAGGGAGAAAAGAGAAGTTCAGGGAAGAGGTCTAGGAAGAGTGAGAAATTTAGCTTTTTTCAGCTGATAGGTAATATTTAAAATTAAGATATGGGTGAGATCGTCAAGGGAGTGAATTTAGGTAGGGAAGAGATCCAAACATTTGAGCCTAGCGGGACTCATTCATTCATTTATTCATTCAACAGTTATTTAATGAGCATGGTTTTAGGTACTTTTTTAGGCGTTGGGGATACAGCAGTGAACAAAGCTGACAAAATCTCCACCTTCAGTGAACTTACCTTCTAGATACACTGGGGAAATGGAGAGGAACCCAGCAGAGGAGATTGATAAGAGGTCATTGAGTTAGAAGGAAAACCAGGGAAGTGTGATGTACTAGAAGTGAAGGAGAGGAAATTTTCAAAGAGGAGGGAATGATCAACGGTGTCATTGTTTAAAGATGTGT